AAATAGTGTCACTATAAGACCTTTTTCTACTAGTGACTTGTTGTCCAAAAATCTTTGCTATTATATAGTAATAATAAAAATATATTAATATTGGAATACCGTCAATAAATATCAGATTATTATACAATTATGTATATTTGAGATTAATAATGAAAGATTGTTAAGACTTCAGATTGAGTAGGAATCATTCATGTTAATTTTTCTTAAGATATCCTCCCTCCGTCCCGGGTAGAAATTGACGTTCAATTAATAGAAGAACAAATGTCTTGCATGCTCTTTGACTTTTGGGAAAATTAATGATATCCACTCAAATATAAAAAGTGGGTGAGTAGTGAAGGGTAGTTAAGACATTTAATGTAAAAGGAGTTGCCTAAAAAATGTAAATGAGTAAATGAGACGTCCCAAAAAGAAAAGTGTAAGAATTCAAATAGGACACAGGGAGTATTAGCAACTAAAAAACGTGGAGGTGCTAATTAAGTTTTTTGAAATACTTGAGGTCCTATTTGACAATATAATGTTCTCTATATTTAAATTTTAAATACATCACTATACTAGTTTTGAATTGAGAAAACGCAACATATATATTATACAATATACTACGTACTACGTAGCAAAATAGAGTAAACTATATACAAGATCAATTGTATACAAGATCAATTGATCAAGTTTAAAATACTCATTCAAATCAAACAGGCCAAAGGAGCAGTCCTTGCTAATTTTTTTCCTTTGAAATATAATCGCATATAATATAAATTATATAATATGCATTTTTTTCCTTTGAAATATAAACGCATATAATATAAATTATATAATATGCTGGTAAACGGCAATGTTCTAAAAGGTTCCAAAAGGCGCCGCATAGGCACGCATAGGCGCCAGGCGCGGACCAAACGCCTCGCATACACCGAAGGCAGGGTCAAAGGCTTCTTCAAGCCATTTAAGCCATGAATTAAAGCCTTGTAAGGCCAAAATAAGCCCAGCAGACTACCTAATTAAGGCTTCTGTTATAGGCCCATGATAAGGCTTAGCTTTTAGTAGGCTGTTGTTGAAACGCAAGAGTGATTTCAACTTATAGAGTCCGGAAGGAATAATTTTCCTCTTCACATCCGGTGGGGGTGAACGGAAGCAAGTATGATACGAACTATTGCTATCTCGATTTCAATAAGTCTTGCACTTACATTCATCTCTAGCTTGCTTAAGTTGTCTTTTTCTCAGCTTTATTTAAATTAACATTACTTCGTATTATTGGGCTCACATGACAAAAATTATATTTAATCAATGATTTTTTTATTGTATTATCTCTATTATATATTAATTGTATGTTAGCATTATATTACGCAGTACTATTTTACTCTTATACAGTTATTAAGTTGTCTTTTTTCTCAGCTTTATTTAAATTAACATTACTTCGTATTATTGGGCTCACATCACAAAATATATATTTAATCAATGATTATTTTTATTGTATTATCTCTATTATATAATAATTGTATGTTAGCATTATATTACGCAGTACTATTTTACTCTTATACAGTTATTACACTACGACATATGTTTTTATTTGGACTGTAATTTGTCTCAAACCAGAGCAGACTTGAATAGTTATAAAAATACAAAGAAACCAGATCAGACCAGTAAATTACAGTCCAAGTAAAAACATCCTTCATATAGTATGCTTATTGTTGTTATTAGTATTGAAATAATTACATATACCTAACGATGCGTTAAGTATTATTTATTTATCATTAAACTACTTTTTCAGTTCTATCTTTTGTGTAATTGGTAATTTGTACTCTATATTGGTTAGATTTAGGACTTGACTAATCTTTTTTGTTGAAAATGAGAAAAGTGTGATGTTTTTAACTAACATAATTTAATATGAAATTTAAACATTTAAAATAATTCTAGGAAAACTTAAATAAAGGATAAAAAATCAAAACGTCTTTTCACGCCTAAACCCCGCCTAAGCCGCCTAGGCTCCAAAGGCTTAAGGCTTGGACGTGCCGACTCGGCACGCCTTACGCCTTTTAGAACATTGGTAAACGGTAATATATACGCTCTTCATATCATCATCATCATCATTTCTTAAAGGAAGGATTGAGACGATCCATGCACAGGTATCGGAAAATATTTGTAAAAACATCCAAAGTAGAGAAACATTTCAGGCCTAAAAAGTGTTATAACTCTTAACACTCTGATTTTGCATACGTGAACTCGTAAGAAATAAAATATTTAACCCCGCCACTGAAAAAAGTGGTCTCGTGAGAGCTCCTAGGGTTTTCCATTTTTGATATTGATCGAAGAACAGGCTCGTCTTTCTCGTAAGACTGCAGGACCTTGGTTCTGTTGTAGTTCGTCAAATCGACGATTTTGGGAAGCTTCGAACGTAGCAGGGCAACGACGATCCATCGCAAGGCAGGGTAGCAAGGTTAGGGCTGTTTGGGTGCAGGGATGCAGATTGTTCGTGGCAGAGGCTGGGTTGGAGGGGGCTTCGTGGTGGAGAAGATGACAGCTAACGGCAATTTTGCTACGAGTGCAGGACAAGGAGGGATGCACGGGTTTCGAGTAGGCCAGATTTCGACCAACAAAGGAGGATCAATTAGAGTGTAGGGGTTGAGATTTTCCGCTGCTCCTATCAATACGGGGTTGGAGCGGCAGATTATTCTGATTTTAAGTGTTCTAACGCTTCAGATTGCAACTATGTTGGATGAGATAACGTTGGCGGATGAACGGATTGCGGCGGGGATTTTGCATTTGTGCCGGATCGTGAAGCTTTGGTCGGCCGCTCCGACGGTTGTTGGGTTTGTATTCATCCATATTGCAAGAGCTCGTCCTCCTCTAGAACCACCTCCATACAAGGAAGGGTTTTGTAGAAAGATTTTATTTCAATATTATTCTCTTTAGTAGTACTAGTTTTAGTTTTAGTCCGAGTAGATTTGGTTGGAATGTTTGGGTTTTCAGAGTTCTTTTGATAGGCAAGGTTTCAGATCTATTCGTTTTAGGCTTAAATTTGCCCGTTTCAGGTTTAGCGAGTCAAGTTGCTTTGTATGACGTGACTAATTCTATGTCTAGTCCTATAGTTCACGGTTGGATCTGTAAAATCTGTCTGAAGATTATCTTGTATTCGTTTTCGATTTTAATATAAATCCGCCTATTTTACAATAAAAATAATAATAATAAAAGTGATAAGTCATGTTTGAACTTTTCTGATCTGATCTGATCTTATCTGAATCTTTCTGATCTGATCTGAATGCTTCTGATCTAGTCTAATCTGAATCTTTCTGATTTGAATCTTTCTTATTTGATCTGAATAAAATAAGAACAAGCAATAAGTAATAAGAATAAGACGAATAGAATAGCTTCTAAACCTACGATTCTAAACATTCCCAATATGCCCTCCTGCTTTTTTCGCCAATGTTGCCTTTCTTTATTCCATGATGCTTACACTCTAAGAAAAGTCGTCTACCAGCCTAGTTGCTATGCTCTTTACCATCTCCTCCCCCGCCTTAACCTTTCATCACCACGTAATACCAAGTCGGGACGTCCACCATTGAGTTTTCCATTTGAACCTAATTATGAGGCACTCTTAATATAGTAGGGTTTCTCCATGGACTTTATTGGATCATTGGCCTTAGGCCCATAGCACTCCTTGATGTCTCAACCATTACTCTCTGGAGTGGCTTGGTTAGCGGATCCGCAATATTTTCCTTTCATTTCACACAATTAAGGAAGATCTTGCAAAAACTCTCTCAACCATTTAGCTTCTTCTCCGGCATTATCTAAGGCAACGAATCCATCTTCCATGGTAGATCTTTCTATACAAGTTTATTTGGAAGATTTCCATGAAATAGCACCACTTTCAAGAGTAAACACATATGACATATCCACTTGTGAGTTTAGTGTTCTTAGAATCGGATATTCAATTTGAACATGTGTACCCTTCTAGTACGGCTGAACATTTTTTAGAATGTAATCCAAAGTCTTTGGTGTACATCAAATATCCAAGTACTCGTCCAAGTCGATCTGTGAAAAGCGACTTAACTTATTCACAACTTGAGCTATGTCAGTTCTCGTGCCATTCATGACATACATTAAGTTGCCTATGACCTCAGATAGTCATACAGTGATAAACTTTTACCTCTTTTTTTCCTTAGGTGAACACTTGATATGTTCTCATGTGTTTGATATTACACTTCTATTTTCTCAATGTATTGGGATTCAGACAATACCAACCATTCAGGTAGTACATGCTCCGTATAAGGCAGACAGAATCATCACCCATTCACCCCCAGTAAAATTTCTTTGTAAAGATCACCGCATGCATCCTTGATCTTGCTTCAGGAATTATCCAACTATAATTTATCCTCCTTCCATCCTTCGAGAAGCAATATATTCGTATATATATTAGAAGAAATTACAGAGTATTGGAAAATTGGAAACCCATTGCATCCACCCATGGGGCATAAAGCCATAAATCATAACAAAGGAAAGTATAGTTCGCACTTTGGGAAAAAGGTTAAATCACATTTTATGTATTTTATGCTCCAGTGGGTGAAGAGAACCACAAGATTAATTTTTGGAGTTGCAACAGACGTCAAATCAGGTTGAGTCAGTCATCAAGGGTATTTAGGGAACCTGAAAGTCTGCTTTTCGTACCATGAATGAAAACGTTTGATTTCAGTTGAATAATTCCAGTTCAAGCTCATAAAAGTCTTTCTACCAAACGAGTTTAGTGATGTAATAATTAGCTGAAATTGGAAAATTTCAGCCAATTATTAGCTGAAGTAGTCTGCCGAACATAGCCTTTGTGATATTTGAAATTTGATATTGTTGAAAATAGCTTGGGAAGATCAGTGATTACTTTAAACGTAGTATTACTTTGAATATATTCTTTGTTTTGGAATTAATTGAATTTCAAAGGCTATTAATTGGCCCGATATGTGAGAAGCTCTACTCCAATTTCACATACAAGATCAAGTCCAAATATACTAATTCAAATCAAATAGGCCAAAGGCTTATCAGTCATTGCTAAAATCTCATATAATATAAATTATATAATATGCTAGTAATATATACGCTCTTCATATCATCATCATTCCATAAAGGAGGGATTGAGACGATCTACATGTATTGGAAAATATTTGTAAAAACATCCAGTATAGAATCATTTTAGGCCTAAAAAGTGTTATGATAACTCTATCCCTCTGATTTTACATACATGAATTAGTAAAAAATAAATATTTATCCCCACCATTGGTGAACGGCAACACCTTCATCCCTGAGTAAACCATACACAGCTAAACATTCCCAATATGCCCTCCTGCTTTTCTCACCGCCGCCACCACCGCCTTTCTTTATCCCTTGATGCTTACACTCCAAGAAAAGCTCATCTACCAGCCTAATTGCTCTGCTCTTCACCATCTCCTCCACCACCTCGACCTCCGTTTTCATCACCACGTAATCCCTCTCCTCCACGTTCTTCCTCAGCCAATCCGACATCCCTCCGGTGGCTTCCCGCCCAGATGATGACTCTGCCCCCGCCACTGCCTCTATCTGGAACAGCTCAAACTTCGCGTTCCCAGAGGGGTAGTTCTTCGCAAACCAATCAGCTCCGGCATTGCTCTTCTCTCCTCCCGACAAGCTCACGTCGATGAACACTCTTCTCGGGTACTTCTCCAATGACACCCCCATGAGGTCTGGCAGGTACCTCGTCCTCTTTCTGTAGGCGTTTGACTTTCCCGATGCTGCCCTCGGCGGTTCAAGCAGGACGTCTTCGAGGTTCTTGAGGGCCGCCGATCTGGCCTTTGATTCCATCTCTGGTAACAGCTGATCTGGATTCTTTTTCTGTTCCCAGAAACCCCTGCTGATCTGGCTTCTCATCCCATCCTCAGTAACGCCCGATTTGGATTCTGATTCCGTATCCAGTAACTGTCGCCGTCCCTTGCCGTGGCTTCTGCTGACGGCATTGGCGGTGTCTTCTGTTTTCTTCACCGCCAGAAAGACCATAGACTTGAATTTCCTGAGGTAGACAGATTTGGTGTTTGGCAAACCAAAGACAGCGGGGTTGTCATTGCCGGTGAGTTGGAGCACGATAATCCCACCTACCTTAACAGCCTTCTTCATTAAATCTGAGGTTTCTCCGGTTAAACCGCCATGATTAGCAAATGCAACATCATATGTTTCCTTATCCGGGGTTTTTAAGGTTTGGTCTGAAACAGAGACCAGGCCCATTTCCTTGTAGATACCTTCCTGATTGCCGCCATTTCTACCAGCAAGGAAGAGAACACGGTCGCCTTGTTTGAGCAGGCCTTCTTTGGCCAGATCACGAAAGATCAGATTTTTAGAAGAAATGTTTCTCAGATAAGTATTATTGATATTAAAGGATGATGATGATTTCCCTATCACATTCAGCCAGGGGAAAGAAACCATAAGAAGAGTCAAAACAATGGCGCGAGCCAGTACTTTCACAAGAAAAGGGTGCCGGAAAGGTAGGACCAAGAATTGAGCAAAGCAAAGGCCATCGTGGTCAATGTGGAGGAGGCCCTTCGTTTTGTTTTGGTGTTTAGTTTGAAGATCAAAGAGCAGACCTGTTTCTTGATAACCCCCCATTTATATTCTCTAGACTAGACAAAGACTTACAAAGGTTATTACTTGTACAAATATTACATAGACTTTTTGAAATTTAAAGAAGATGAGATTGAAAGAGAAAGAGATGGAAATGGGGAAGATAAAATTAGCGGGTGCAAAAGCGGGAAGCAGTGTGATTACCACCAACTAGAGAAACAGGATTGTTTTTCTGCAACCTCAAACATAGCAAAAACAGATCTCTTAATCTCTGCATCTCCATTCCCTAAGACTGTACTCAGCCTCCCTTTTCAAGGTTTCTAGATTGAGAAGTGTTTGGTTGGGTATTCTTAGCGCATGGGGATATACTCCATCGATGTTGCCAGCACCGAATGGATAAGGAAGGGAGGGAGGAGGAGGAGGAGGCAGGCACTACTCTATGAATGTTTTGTTTTGATGGGGTTTGTATTGTGTTTTTGAGAAAGAAAATTAAACATTCGTATAAGAGAGAGACATGAATTGGCTGTTGGCCAAGCATGAATCTCTCTTCTACATAAAGAAACCTGTGGCTGACATTGTGATGGAAGTTTCCCAGCAAGTACTTGTCAACCATATTGAGCTGAAAAAGTTTCCTTTTTAACGCCATCATTTTAGGAAACTTGATAGATAATCACATCATAGTCATGGTGGGGGAGGGGATTCACGATTTTGGGTGGCCAAAACTATGTTTTTTTGCATGGCTTTATAATGTTAGCAAATTTTTTCACAAAATAAACATTATATTTCTATAATAATGATGAATTTATGACTAAAGTAAATGTATCGTAAAACAAGACTTTCTAATGCATGGGTTTTAATACGGAGTACATGGTAGCCATGATAATACTTAATACGGAGTACGTGGTAGCCATGATAAGACTTTCTAAAACAAGACTATAGCCGTTTTGTTTGTTCAACAATTCTACATTAATAATATTTTAGAAATTTATAATTGATGTAATGTTGGTGATACTGGTTCATCTGAAATATATAGCGATCAATTCCAGGCATTTTAGCACAACATATTTCTTTGGTTCAATTACATTGTGGTAAGCTCCATTCTGCACAATTTAAATTAAGGTTTTACCACACCAGATGAGATTGTATGTTCTAACAATTGAATTTGTTAGAAAAGAAACAGATGGCCTATTTTTCTGAACACATGGCCTATTAAATTTTGGGTTGTTATAAACAAAATTACAAAACATGGTGTTCATACCAATCCTTAAAAAATCCATGCTTGTATGTTCCATAAAATGTTAAGACCTGTTCATATGGACTGAAAATTGTTGTGATCTGCTCAAGTATGGTTCTCTGTTTATGATTGGTCTAATCAGTGCAAGAATTAAGAACTAAGCATAAGTCTAAGAGAACATGTCCTTAGATTTGAAGTTCTAGATTCTCCATGTCATAACTAACCATTGCAGGATTACAGAATCCAAGCCGTCTAATGAATTCAAGAATCATACATCATCCTAGCTAAAAACAATGTTAGTTATCATAGTACAATCCTTGCATATCCTCACTTATTCTACGCTGTATATAAGAACTACACAAATAGTCAAATTACCTCATCATCATTATCACACCCTTGCTGGTTTCTGTAAGACAGCAGATAAGTACACCTTAGGCTTCTCTGACCCGTTGCTCTTGTCTCCTACAACCCATTTCAACTTCTTGTATCCAAATCTCTCAATCAAATGGGTCAACGCCTTTCGCTTCTCATCACCATAACAATACAGATTATCCAACCAAAACAAGCCACCTGCCCGTAGAACGCGATCTATGTCAAACATCAAGAACTCCAATTTCTCTGCGGGTTGGACCCCAATATCAAGCCCGTTCCCGGCGTGAACCAAATCAAACACATTGTCATAAAATGGGAACCGGTGATCCAAACTCAAATAGAGTGGGAAAAGTCCTCTTGAAGCTATGAACTCATTAAAAGGTGCACCAATGTTTAATGTGGAAGTCACCACAGTGACGTTCCTTTCAGCCATTCTAGCAGCAAAAGTTCCAGACCCGCCACCACCTACATCAAACCCGACACGGATTCTTCCACCATTTCCACCCATTGAAAGCACATCATCCAGCAGAAAGTCGTTCTTACCCCTAGCTTTAACGTATCTCTGAGTCTCATACCCAGACACTATATCAAAGCAACCTTTACAGTCCATGCTCAATTTCTTACCATTCAAACAGGAGAAATTCTGGCAAGAAAGGCCACTCCAACTATAGCTCTTTTCGCTACTAGTCTTCCAAAGAGAAATGGGAAAAGGCTGTAAATCGGATTTGGGTGTAATCTTGGAAAAGCACCTCCTCCTTGGGAGAGGCTGACAGCCCTTCAAGATCAGATTTTGACCCAGAACCCAATCGTCTGGGCAAGGCCCGCTGACCTTATATTTCATGAACTGCGACAGCAAATCGATGGATTTCTGGCAAGAATGACCCACGGAAGCCACCATTGTTGTAATCCCAGTTCTTGAATCTTTGCCCAGAGGAAGCTGGTGACGAAGAAGAAACATTCTCAGCTCAGGGGCGATGTTGGGTTTGGAAAGATCAATGCTTTCGTAGCCTAGGAGCTCTTTCTGGATATGGGCAACCTTCTTCTGAGACGAATTGATCTCACTGAGGATAAGGGAGACATGGTCGGAGATGCTCTTGTGGGTCTCGTGAAGGAGAAGATGGTGGGTCTTGCTCGGTGGGTGGGTAAAAGCATATAGAGCGAAGAGATTTGTAGTGAGTACAGAGAAGACCATGAGAAGATTGACAGCTGATGAGCAAAGGGAAGTCCTCTTCTTAAATCTTGCTGTTCCGTCTCCAATTTTTAGAGATACAGACCCCATCTTCTTACACTCCCAAACACACTCTAAAGATGTTCAGCAAGGAAGAACACAAGTGAAGATCTGGGGAACCAAATCGGTATCCAAACCAAAGTGGAGTGTGCTTCTTTTTAAGCAAGTGGTATTCTGCTGTACTTCGCCATTCTCGGACAGAGATTCTTGAGCAGTCACGTGAGACAAAAGTTACCAGGAGAGTAGGAGTCATGAAGGTTTACCCGTTTACGGATTACGATTCTCATCTGTGCGGAAGTTACTGTTTTTTTTAGTTAATCGAAAGTGTTTTAGCCATTTCCGGATGTGTTAGACCATTTGTAGTGGTGAGGTATTAAGAGTCCAAAATGTTAAATGTGGAACTTTTGGATTCCTAATTGTGTGTAGTGGTGGTTTATATGGGGTATTAAAAGTGGGAAAGGGGATGAAGGGTGTTAAATATAGAGGGTGAGTTAGAGGAGTGGAAAAGGAAAAAATAAAGATAAAAGAAAAAGTAAGGCACGGCCGGATGTTTACTTTAGGTGAGGATGATGTTATGCTGGCGTCATTCTTGCATCATTATATCCCAATTTTTTAAAACATATATAACTTTTTTATTTGTCATTTAAATTTTTCAAAAACTATATCAAAATTCATAAATTTTTATGATCTTTCATATGACATCCATATGTGATATATAAAATGATTTTATTTTGAAATTTTAACTGTTACAATTTATTAAGCTAAAAAAATGAAACACGAATTCTTAATTCATGAAACCTTCACAAATAATTGAATATTCTATAATCAAACTTCACTTAAACAAATTCATTTTTTTAACAGAAAAATGTTAATAAAAATTATGAAAATTATTTGTTTTTACATCAAAATGTGTATTTTTTATTTCATAATTATTCAGGGAAAAAAATTAAAAGTAAAACATTACTTATAATAATTTAATTAATATTTTACTAAATTCATATGTAAAAAATATGCAAAGTGTATTTTATTGACGGTGCACGGATGCAGGAAAAAACAGTATTGACAAAATTTAAACACTGTTTTCAAATGGACGGAGTCCAAATTTAACTATTTGGACTCTTGACCACTACAAATGGTCTTAGCAACAGCCATCGCTATTTATTTGTCATTCACAAAACAAAAAACATACAAATACGGATACTTTCAATAAAATTGTCAACGTGAGTTTGCATCTGCCAGATTGGTTGCATGAAAATTGATGTCGGTGCACACAGATATTAGTTGTCTATGTAGATAAAAAATGGTGATCTGAATAAAGTTAGTTTGCAAGTTTAGGGGTTCTGAAACCAATGTTTATGTACACAGACATTAGTTGTCTGTGTAGAAAAAAAAGTGTATATACATATACTATGTATAATTTTCGTCTGTATACACAGACACTTAAAGCAAACCAGTATCGGTGTGCGTAAAATGTAAAAAGAGAGAAGGAAAAAGGAAAAGAAGAAGAAGAAGATGATGAAAATGATGAACAACAATGATTCAAAGGAATCGATTCTAAAATTAGCTAATAAAACCTAAAAAGAAAGAAAAATAAGAAGAAGAAGAAGATGAAGAAGGAGAAAGGAAGCAACAAAGAAGCAAGAACATGATGATGATGATGATGATGATGATGATGATGATGATGATGATGATGATGAAGAAAGAGAGAGGGGAGGGGAAAGAAAAAAAAAGGATGACACCCCATCCCTGAGGGCCCCCCAACACCGACCGGACGGTACGATGGGAGGATGTAAATTGGACTATAATCACAATCTGACAGATAGAGAGTGAGGCTCTGTCCCCGGTACTTGCAGAGGCCCTATGCATTTTTCAGCATAGTAACCCCTCATCGCAGTTGCCGGGATTCGAACCCGAGACCTAACCCTTGTGGCACTCCATTACTACCAGTTGAGCTACGCCCACCGGTAGGGGAGGGGAAAGAAGAGAGTGGGGAGGGAGGGAAGAAAATAAAGTGGGAAGAGAGGAAATTAAAATGGAAGGAAAGTTATATAGGATATAACTCTGAGTGTAACTCAAGATGTAACCTTGGGTGAAAGTCACAGTGTATCTAAAGAATTATTCAAACACAATATATGTTGTTTATGCAATTTGTTTGATCATCAAACTATTTTTCGTGCATATTCTAATTCTTTTTTGTTTTATCATGATTTTCTTAATCGAAATTCCAAATCCAATCGAACTTGCAAATACTACGTACATGTTTAAAATTCAATTTAGTAATTAAATACAATCAGATAAGATTTCTTTGTTACAATCATAATTAATTCAAATTAGGTTTTTAATTCATTTAGTTTCAAATAGAACTTGGGAAGTTGGGATTACGTATTCTAAATTCAGTTTGTGTCTACTTCATTGTAATACTCCGTTTTTGTCCTTTTACAGAAATGGAATCTATGTGTTTTTACTATTGACTCTAGTTATCCTTGCTAGATTTTGCTCTTCAAATCTCAGTACATAAGTACATTCAATTATACTCCGTACTACATATACTAAACTTATTACTCCGATAAGTTGTCTAATTCATGTGACTTTCATTTTAGTCACTTTTTATAATGAAGATCTCATTT